TAAAGTGTTTTTTGCTTACTACTGAACTCCACTGAAATTATTATATCTATGTTATCTGCTCATTCCACAGGCCCTAAAAATGACGCAGATGCCGCAATGAAGTTCATCTTGAGTATGTATGAGGAGCAGAACTCAGACACACATAAAAGCATCTATGCACATTCCACCTGTGCAACCGACACTGAAAATATCCGCTTTGTTTTTGACGCAGTGAAGGACACCATTCTGCGGAACAACCTATCCGACTTTAACTTGGGTTAAATGACAAAAGTAGTTTTCCATATATGGCTACACTGACCTCTGATTCAGTGAAAATATTAATGTGATCTCTGTGTGTGAGTACTGGGATTATGGCAAAGTGCATTCTGTGAATTTAGCATGTAGCCTACCTGCATTGGCGGATATTAAAAGGATTGTCCACCCAAAAAGAAATGTCTAATTTTGCGTTTTGCAGAAGAGAGAAAGTCATACAGGTTTGGAAAAATATGACGGTAAGTAAATGATAGCAGAATTTTCATTTTGGGGTGAACTGTCCATTTAGCTTTGTTATTAGGGACATTATTTATCCTCTGGAATGGATTTTCAGGGGCTTTTTTTCCTTCATGAGGGCATTTTTCTAAACATAGGCTATTAAAACCCAAATTCTGCTTTATAGGCCCACAATAGAATAGAATAAAATTTATCAAATATTCTATAACAACGGAAAAACCAATTCAATAATTATTATTAAATTACGTTTCCCAGCCCTGCCAACTTCCCATTCATATCCTATTCCTAAATTTCCCAGAAAACAAAATCTATCCAAAGTCAAACCTTAAATCTGTGGTATTAGGTAAATGGCTATATTTTATCACTGACACTTCATGTGGCCATCTTAGTGAGTATCTGCTATTACATTCTATTTCCACCCAAGATTTGAATGAAATATGAATTAAGACAGGCTGGCATAAAAGACAGACTTTGAATCCATGCAAATCAATTGTAGCCACGGTCTTTGCTATTCAAATAGTCTCTCCAACACTGACATGGATACAAGAATGATACTTCAGTACAGACAGTTTCAAGTCTTAACACTCTCAAAATGACATGTTTGTAGATATTTACTGTATGTACAGTTACAATTTCTAGTGTGACTACTGTATGGAAAGTCACAGCTTCTTGTGTGATTCTTTAGGTAGAAGCTAAATTGATGTGTGACACTTTAGCATGTCATTAAAACGTTATTTCTTTTTGCAACAGATGCAATACAGTTGTGTGTTTAGTGAGTCAAAATAAAACAGACTGCATATCAAATGCATTTTAACATTTAATTCTGTCAAGCAGTGATTTATTTTTTCATATACGTGCCAAAACATGCAATTCCACTTTTTGAAAAGTATTTTTAAAAACTGAAATTTGACTGAAAACTGACAGAAAAAAAAATACAATTTTGTTGCATCAATACATCACAAACATCATAAGATAAAAGTTCGGAATATATATATGTATATTTTTTGTGCTACTTTTACGTCCTTACTAAAGAAAATCTTACAGTAATCTTATCAGTGAGTTTTTTAAAAATATTTTTATTATTATTTTTTTTTTTTGCCAATTGCTCTGATCTTCTGTGATCACATGGCAACTCAGCTGGTGTTAACGCAGAATTTCTTGTATTATTTATACATTGTTAGTAACAAAAGTGGACAAAATAAATAATGTAGGAAATAGACTCTGGGTAAGCTAGATAAAAAGCCTAGTGGAGACACCAGAAAGATTCCTTTCTTTTTCTACCAGAAGTCTGTTCATGTGCATAATGTTAATGTTTTCTATATTAAGTCCTAAAATATTTGTATGCAATTATGATTATATGATTTTAACTGAAAAAAAGAAGAAGATTTAAATATGTGTATGTGTGTGTGTGTGTGTGTTTGAGCACTGAGATTGTTCGACAGAGCTAAAGAGTGAATCTGTAACTCCAGTTGTGATTTATAACTTTACACTTAGTTATGTCAGGTGTGGCACAGTTGCTGTAGCAATGAACATTGGACCAAACACTTTCTGAGTAAGAGGTCATAGAGCACCTCCCATTGCTTCCTTTAACACAAGAGACTTGCAACAGAAAGCGGGTGAGTAGCTGAACACACAACACTGTTCTCGGTTCTCTCAACACCGTGGAGATCTTAAATCATAGAACATGACAAATCGTAATAGAGCAGGAAACAACAGAGCTTTGAGTATATTTTATCTTGTGGTTTAGGTGTAGTCTCTTTTATGGACACATTGACAGGGCAGATTCAAAGCAGTGAATTTTTATGGGTGATCAGGCGAATGATCACCTTCCAGCACAAAGCTCTGTTTACAGTATAAAGCATAGTGACCACACTATAGTCTATGCAATTTGAGTATGAATGGTTATGACCTCATTTTAATTTAGCGACTTCATGGAATATCTTTTTTAATGACACTGTAGTACTGTAGAACTGCGGAAAAGCTAGCAGTAGTGGAAAACATGAAATGGAAAGCATCATAATATACATTTTCCCTTATATTTCTTGATTTACATTAACCTTAACATACAACATCATTCTAACTACTGTTTGATTTATCCTGTCCAGAGATAATGGTTAATTTACTATACTAGCATGATGTAAAAAAGAACAACAATAATAAAGGTATTTATATTATAAATTTTTTTTATATTTTCACAATACAGTAACAAGAATTGCATTTTCTCACATTATTTGAATGAGAATTTGTGATGTAAATGTGAAAATTGTCATGAAAATAATGTCAATGCATTTTAGTGGTCAATATGCTTCAATTTCTTTATGCATTTTTTTTTTCATTTTAACTTAGGGGTGAAATATGAAACTGAAATGGCAGGATTTGTGAGATACACACACACACACACACACACACACAAGTAAATGACAATATTTGTCAGCCACCATTAACACCCTTTGAGAAAAAGAAGTGTACCTAATTGTATTTAATGTGCACTTGTACTTCAAACCTTAAAAGCATTTTAAAAACTGTACTTGCAAATAATATAATATTAAGGAAATAAAAAGACACTTACTCTATGTGTATGCTTTTATAATCTCTTACCTTGCTTTAAAAAACACAAATTTGTATGTGTTGACTAACATACTAAAGCATATGTAAAGTACTTGGTTTTAATTTTAACTATAGTGTTCTGTTAGAGTTCAGTATTACATTTAAAATGAATATATTTTAAATGTACTAAATTGCAAGTTTCAATAGAAATTACATTAAGAATATATTAGTTTACCGTAAATGCTTGTCGGCAGTACACTTTAACCATATTTCAAAGACAATAAAATTGTGAAATTGCATATAAAGATACTTACATAAGTCCTTCTAAAGTGGGTCAAAAAAAGAAAAAAAAAAAAGAACTATATGCATTTAATATAAATTTGAACATAATCTCTTACCTTGCTTTAAAAAACACAAATTTGTATGTGTTGACTAACATACTAAAGCATATGTAAAGTACTTGGTTTTAATTTTAACTATAGTGTTCTGTTAGAGTTCAGTATTACATTTAAAATGAATATATTTTAAATGTACTAAATTGCAAGTTTCAATAGAAATTACATTAAGAATATATTAGTTTACCGTAAATGCTTGTCGGCAGTACACTTTAACCATATTTCAAAGACAATAAAATTGTGAAATTGCATATAAAGATACTTACATAAGTCCTTCTAAAGTGGGTCAAAAAAAGAAAAAAAAAAAGAACTATATGCATTTAATATAAATTTGAACTATAACTTATTGTCTTTTTACTGCAATTTACATTCAGTTAAGTGTCTGAAAACATTAAGTATGCACCTAAGTATATTCTTTTAAACTATATTATTTTAAGCCCTCTTTTTCAAAGTATGCTAAAGTGTACTTATTTTTTTCAAAAAGGACATAGTTTCAGGGGCTTCAGTTTATTTAATGAGCCTAAATGGGCTCTGGGAAAATCTCTGGCTTTCACAGACAGACTCATTCATGTCTCTTTATTCATCTGCACAGCCAGACTCACTCACAGTTCACCTGTGCAGTCAGACCCATCAGTTTCATTTATCCTCACAGCAGTCTTGCTGCTGATGCTGCGTTCAAGTCCTCCTGGGACGTTCCCCAGACAGCAGACCGTTTCGGCCCAGATCCGGCCCACATCTGGCCCGCATGGATTTCACATGGGCCAGATGTGGGCCGGATCTGGGCCAACAAAGTCTTGCTGTCTGGGTCGTACTTACGAGTTGACAAGTCGTAATAACGACGTCAGGTGCGTTCAAGTCACTTTGGTCGGAACAGTATGGCGATTTAAAATTTTTTCCATAAAATTCTACAAAATGATGAATAAAGAATGTGCGTCATTGTGTTTTTGCTTTTTCCCCCTGTTTTTATTCAATTTATGAAGGTGATGAATCATTATATACACTTTTCCTGTTTCGTGCTGTGGAGGATGGATGGATGGATGGATTAATTCAACGTCTTGATGGAGGCAGAGAGCAACAGACCTTTCCACTTTCACCCTCACCCACTCTCTTTCTCTCCATCAACACACATTCTCTGTTTGAGAACTAGCAACCATCTGGCAGCTTATTGTAGACACTCCTGCGAGACAGGCTTCCCTTCTCACGTGGCTCTGTGTGTGTGTGTGTGAGAATGTATGCATAAATTCACACATGAATTCACACTGCTTCTAAATTCCAAATAGGGATGTTAAAGCAATGGTATGGTATAGATTTTTAGAGCAGATAAGATTATACAGACTACGTTTTCTGTTGACAGTCAGTTTGTTGCGCATTGCAGCTGAAGCAAATGCAAGACTGATATTACAACATATTAAAGAGCTGCAAAATTTCCGGATTCAGTGCGTTCAACTCGTAAATACGATCTATCCGACATGACTTGAACGCACCATTAGTCTCCCTCATTTGTATCTCAAGCTCAGGGCGGAGAGAACAGCCTCACGCCCTTATTTGGCGCTAGATAAGGTCACATGACCACAAAATGGTGGAGGCTCTCGGCAGTGGGTGAACCGAGCATCTCTGACGCTGAGAGACACAGGCGCACATCCATGATCTGAAACCCAGGGCAGGAGACAGAACTGTGCCTCAGCCGTGGTGGTGAGTGTACTATGGGTAATTCTAGCAGGGGATGAAGGAAGCATGTTGTTATTTGAAAAGCATTGAGATAGGAGGGAAAGAAGGAGGGATGGGAATTTGTTTGTGATGCATCTTTGGTAGCGGAAGAGGTTTAGCATCAGCATCCTTTGTGATGCAAGACACAGGCAGCTGCTTTTGTTTGCGTTTGGATCATAAATGAGTGTTTGTCATGTTGAATACAGGCACATGTTGTATCGTAATAAGTCTATGTACAGCTGACCTGCTTTGGCCATTATTCAAATTCATGGCTCTGCATGCATGGCTCATTTATTTGCCTATGTGTTTGTACGATTGCATGTTTATAAATGCCAGAGTGTGTGGACACTAAGCGGAAGAGTGATTCATAAAGAAGAGGGGAGAGAGAGCAGAAAAGATGGGTTGATGATGATGACATAATGCCCACCCACTTTTCCTGTTTCGTGCTGTGTAATTTGTGGGCTAATTTTCATTTTGGGGTGAACTAACCCTTTAAGTGCATCTACTCTGCTTGAAGCTCATTTGAAAAAGCCTTTTGTCTGTGAGTCCTTGTTTTGTAGCTCTAATTTTAAATCTGTAAAACCTGTAAAGTTCAACTGGATAATTTATTCTTATTCTTATTCTCTTATCCATTATTCTCTTATCCATTAATCTCTTATCCATAATTCTCTTATCCATAATTTATTATTATTATTATTGCTATTTTTAATTATTTGTTTGTAAAGCACATTTAACTATACAGGTGCATCTCAATAAATTAGAATGTCGTGGAAAAGTTCATTTATTTCAGTAATTCAACTCAA